TCTGACTCTGGCCCGTGCAGAATTCCCCCATCAAGTCTTCTCTGGAGGCCTATTACAGGCAGGCACCTTGCCTGTCTGTGGTGTCTCTGCTGCTAAGCCAGGAAACCCAGTACCTTTGCCCTCATCTGCCTTCCTAGAGCCTCAGGAGGCGGCATGTGCCCAGCATTCCTGCCCAACCTACCGTGGGTCCCTTCCCCATCCTGGCAGTGTTGGGCAAGAAGCAAGCCCTGACCGCCCAGGAAACTTTTCGGTGCCTCTTTGCCATGTGCCAGGAGCTGTGTCAGACCCCAGAGATTCACCAAAAGGAGAAGCATAGATTTTTGCCTATTTTGCCTATTTTCAAGAAACTGCAGCAACACACAGGCGGTATTTTGTGTTCTGCTTTTTTACAGAACAATGCCTCTCATGCATTGTCCCGCAACTGTATTCATGGTAAACTTGAGGTGTCTATACAACCTTGACAACAAGGTAGTCAGAAAATGTAAAATTCAAATATCACACTGGTTAAGATACAATTATCTCTGTAACTGTCCATTATAATGACTGCTTTTATTGGATATTTAGATTTGAAACTTGCCACTATTCTGCTATTATTTTCCCACTATTTTGCTATTTTGTAATACTGCAATGAATATCTGCAGGTATATATTCTTTTTTTTTTCCTCAGGGAAAAATACAGCAGAGTGGAAAGAATATAGGTTTTAGAGCCAGATAGATAGATTTGGGTTCAAATTCTAGCTCTGTTGCTTAAGATCTCTGTGACCTTGGGCAAGTTCCTTCACATTGAGCTATTTCAGTTTCCCTTCTGTACAAAGCCATCAACACTATTTAACCCAAGAGACAGTGGTGACGATTATTCAATGCTGATGGGTAAAATCATTTTGAGATAGATCTGGATTTAAATTCCGGCCCTTTTGCTTAACTTGGACAAGATACTCAACCTTTGTTAAGCTGTGTTTCCTTCTCTATGAAATGGAAATTCAAGTGCGTACATAATGAGGTTATTGGGACAATTAATTAAATACATATAACATGTTTAGTACAGTGCTGAGTACACAGTAGGGGATCGATAAATGTTAGCTGTTATTATCACAGTAATTACTATTACTACATAAAAAGGCAGCACTTAACAATTGCTGGTGTGGTGGCCATCCGCTCCCACCTCAGACTCGTACTCATGAGAAATATCCAAGAATTGGAGACTGGATCAAGGGTAAGGCATACGTTTATAGGTAGCGCCGCATTGTTCACCAAAAGGATTGCATACCACTAACAGTATGCTGAATCTATCCATTTCACACCCATCCTCACCAACAGGTTTTTTTTTTTTCCTGTCATTTTTAAAGAGTTCAATTTTCATTTCTTTATTACTGTGAGGGTGAACATTTTCCCATAACATTTTGTTTACTGTTGGGATATCTTCTAGCATGAACACCTTATTTCTCTTTTGGCTGTTTATCAGTTTGAATCTTGGTGTTTTTCTTCAGTATTTGAATAAAGTCTTTATATATCAGGAATACAGTAATATTTAATGCAAACACTTTCCCGGTAAGCTGGAGCCAGGGAGGTCTGGTACCAGTGCAGGAAGACCAGGGGTAGATCTGTGTGTTCAGGAGCATTTCTAATTGGGGCTCTGGACTCTTGCACGGTGAACTCAACTACTCCCTCATCAATCTCTGGGCATCTCCAGCCCTGCATGACACTGCCCTTCTAGGTTTCTAACTATAGGATAGTCCTTAGTTGTCTTGTAGACACTTCAAGCCCACCATAGACCCAACTGAACTCCTCGGTTGTCCCCCAGTGAGAAACCTTTCCAAACTCCTCCATTTAGTCCCTTAATGTCCTAGCCAAGAGATCCTGAGACTGCTTCTCATCACAAGTACTCCCCCCTCCCACCCCGTTTTCCAAAGCTTGCCTTAGGCCACTTCACTTTTATGAACGACCTCCATTAGTCCCTGTTTTTGCCAACCAAATGGAATCCGAAGAGGATTTTTGTTTTTATGAGAAAAGGCAAAAAGCAAAAATAGAGTGTAACACATGTTTTGCAGGGAGGCAGCACACAGCCTAAGCGGCAAAGAGTGGTATATTGCCAAGCTCCTTCCCCGAGGAGCCACACTCAGCATCTCAGCACCAAGCCGCAGTAGCTTTTTTTTAAATGATTTATTTTTTTAAAATAAATAAGAAAAAGATTTTATTTATTTAGAGAGAGAGAGGGAGAGTGCAGGGGGGAGGGGCAGAGGGAGAGAGAGAGACTCTCAAGCCGACTGTATGCCGTGTGCCGAGCCTCACAAGGGGCTCGATCTGATGACCCTGAGATCAGACCCTGAGCCGAAATCAAGAGTCAGACGCTCCACCCACTGAACTGCTCAGGCGTCCTGAGGCCGCCGTAGTTTTGAACTGTGTTTGTGAACATCTATGCTTTATCTTGATTTATTTTGTGCATGATTTATCAAGACGCATCCTAAGGTTTTAGGAAAGCCGAAAAGAGGTTGTCTTTGGTGCCTGGGAGTGCTCAGAAATTTTTCCACATAAATTCATGGCAATCGTTTCTTTCCTTTCTGCCATGCGGGCTTATGAAGCTTTCATAGGAAATGCTTTATTTTTGGATAATGGGGGAAACCTACGTAGGAAAAAGCCCTCCCAGTCTCTCACATAGGCCTGTTGTACTGTCTCCTAAATAATACTCTTGTATGAGAAGTCACATGGTCTGACTTTTGATTTGGAAAATGTGATCACACATACCAAGAAAATGAGCAGTGGCAGCCAAGCTGACATGTTATCTCAGGCCTTCTCTACACGTCAGTATCTGCTACTGAAACCCATGCACGTGAGCTGGTATGCAGGCCAGGACACAGCTATCCAGCGATGGGTATCTGACAGTGGGATTCAGGAATTAGCCAGGGGGGAACAAAGTACTAGAAATAATTGCCTTCAGCATTTGGCCCAAGTGTCTGCTGTCCTTAAATTATTTTAATATTTTAATGGTGACATTTTTTAAATTATTGGGGTAATTATTTTTAATAGTTTAATCATTAGCAGTATTGATCTTGTCTTAGCATTATGCCTTTTTCTGTTGATGTCCCAGTTACAATGCTAGTGCCATGCAATCAGAAAGGGTGTTTCAGCCTTCCTTCTGAGGCCCAGCCCAATGGCCTTGCCCCCTACGTGGAGTTCCAGAACCCCCAAAGGCGGCTGTCCTGGCACCATGAGCTGCTATTGAGGAAACACAACAAGGCAAGCAGAGTTCAGATATAAAAAGTCAAAATTCCCTTGAATGAAAATTAAACTAAATAATCTTACTATTTCTAGGACCATAGTTCATGAGAAGCCACACGGATAGTAACATCCTAAGTGGAAGCTTTCTTCTGTTATTTCCTAACTCTCCCCTCAACTTCCCCAAATATATATACTGGATCACTTAAGAAGCCCCATCCTCTCTAGAGACAACAAACGCCTCCAAGGACACACACTGAGAGCCACCAGTTTCTTAGTCCTTTTGGAAAATGTGTTGAAAACAAACTACATACTATTCTAAAGTTCTCCTTCCCAAGGCTGGGTGTGCCTGTGTGTAGGGCACATGCATATGTGTGGGTACATGCACGTGGATGCGTGTGGGTGTGGACACGCTGTGCTCACACAGTGAGGAAGTGATGGAGCCTATTTTTCTAAAAGCAGAGTATGATGGGTGAAATGCACATTCTCACCCCTCGAATATTCGTCTCTCCCCACAAGATCTGTATCCGCTGGGGAAGAGTAAAGACAGGCCTTTGGGCCCAGTGTATTCTAACTGCTTCCGTGAAGACCAACTAGGGTTTTCCCATGTGAAAAGTATCTTCGGAGTTTTTTTTGGGGGGGGGGTGGCCAGTGGAATCTTTGGAAGGAGGTGGAAACCTAGAACCGACATCACCAAGAAGTTGCTCGCAAACAAAATGGTTTTCTGAATTCCAATCAAGGATGAACTTTTCGGTCTGAGAGTGATGCCCCGAATCCCCTTCCAGAGTCAACTGGAGAAGGCCTTGAACGAGTCTTTTCTAGAATCGGTGAGCAAGTCCTCGTATTCCTTCCAGGACCTATCCCACACTTTCCCAGCAGAAAAACTGGTTAATTTACATCCCAGGCAATTACCTGTCAATATCAGTCTCTGGTATCCAAATCCCCCCCTGTAAGACTGTAGAGTAAGGTCAGGGGTGAAATCTCGCAGCAGCTTCTCCCCGGCAGCGCCACACGCAAGGAGACCCACCCATCTAGCCACTCGGCGCGTCCCAGTCCGAGGCCGGTTCACTCCACACAATGTGGTAAGTTCCTGGAACTGCGTGGCCTTTTGGGTGGGGCCACTTCGCCGCCAGTGAGATGCCATCTCTCCTGGGAGCCGCTGCCGGTCAGCGTGGGGTGGGGGGCGTCTCTGGGGCCGCGGGAGAGCGTGCTGGGTCGGGGCGGACCGCCTGGAGGACCGGCGCAGGGAAGCACGTGGGCGCGCGCGCGCCACGATTCCGCCCGGCGCAGCGCCCCCAGCCCATTTCTCGGGCGCACCCGGCCTACGGCCCGCCACCGCCCGCAGGGCACCTGAGCGCGGCGCCGTGTCGTCGCACTGCCCCCACGCTGCCTGGACCCCCTGCGGCCCACCGCCGCCCACGTGTCCCTGCCCGCGGCGCGCGGCAGCTCGGCGGGACCCACTCGGAGAGAAACGCTGCAAAGAACCCGCCAGCACGGCGAGGGCAGGGTCGCTCACCGCCCTGCGGCACCAGGGACCCGCAGGCTGTGGCCCGTCCGGGATGCCGCGCGCGGGCAAAGCGCCAGCCAGCCAGGCATCCCACCGTCCTCAAGAGAGCAGCCGAGCGCAGCTCTCCCGCGCGGATGCTGCGCGTCCCGAGGCCCCGACAGGTGCGCCGCGAAGGCGCCGCACCTCCCTCCGCGTGCGCCCGGGTCGGGGGCGAGGACGGGGTGGGGGGGCTCCTGCGGGAGCCAGGCCCCTGGAGAAGAGAAAGGAATTTGTTCTGTACCTGATCCTGTCCCTCTCTGACCTCTGTAGCTCCTCGTTTCTTTCCAGCACCTGAAGGATCTTCCTGGCCTCTTCGTCGTTTAAGAAACTGAAATCAAACCCCCGAGGAACCTTCGTCATATTCTCTACTGTGTGTGAATTACACTTAAGCTCCTTGGCGCCTCCTGTTACGAAGACATTTTTCAAGGTATAGAAGACCAGTTTCAGGAACTTGATCCCATAGCCAATAAGAAGTCCGCCCCTTTGAAAATCGAAAACCACAAACTTAGGGAACGGCCCACACCTACAGGGCTCATTTCGACAACACCTTAATGACATGTTTCTGTCAACCTATCCAACCGAGATGCGAAATGGACGGCTCCACCGAGAGAGGGAACCAATCGAATTCCAAAGGGGCGGGCCCTTCCTCGTCTCCTCCCTCCCCTTTCCCCCTCCACCGCCTGTCAAACTTGTTAAAGTAACAATCCTAAGTATTTCGGCACCTAAATGAGGGCCGAGCTTAAAGGTTGGCGCCAACGTAGTATTTGCTTTTGCCGTTGCTGTTTGCTCTCAGAAGTCCAGCTGGACTCGTGGAAGGAGTGAAAAGGAAGGAGATCCACAGCTAATCCTCCTTTTCAGTAAAGAGCAGCCCATGGGAAGGAGAATTGCAGTGGGAGCTTTAGATCTGGCACAAGAGTTACCCCAGTGGAAAGACCAAGAAGGGCTGAACTTGATGCACAGATGACTATGGCCTGACCAAGCCCAGGGGCTAAATTTAATGTATCCCTGGAAATGAGTTCTTTGCCAAGCCTCCCATCCTGCAGAGGCCCCCAGCACATTCTCCTACAAAAGTCATTATCGAGCTTTAGGGGAAAAAAAACAAAAACTTTTTAAAAACCACAAGATGGTTTATGGTATCTTAGGAGAAGACAGCCCCAAGGGCAAGGGATGATGCAAATCACCTGTTTGTAGTTTTCTCTAAGATTTGATAATCTTCTTAATAATTTCAGAGAAGTAATTCAAGTGCCACTTTCAAACACCTAATCCTCTGACTAAAGCAAAATGTAATCCTGTGAAACCACCAGAAATAGCTTTCCTGGAAAGTATTCTTCTGAGATAGGGTGGGAGTTTCAAAAGGTATTCATATATATGCTTTTTAAAAAGTATTGTAGTGGGGGCCCTGGGGTGCAGGAGTGCCTGGCTCCAGAGGTCCCAAACAGCCCAGATTTTGCCACTTGCCACTTAAAAATTCCAAAGGCAGAGAAATGAGCTGCAGTGAAACAAAAAAGGGACTTACTCTGGTGAGGGCAACACTGGGTAGACAGTGCACTAGCATCTCAAAGACTGCTTCCAGTTGCTGGAGTGGTGGGGGGGTGGGAGGGACAGGGTGGCTGGGTGACAGACATTGGGGAGGGTATGTGCTATGGTGAGCGCTGTGAATTGTGCAAGACTGTTGAATCACAGACCTGTACCTCTGAAACAAATAATGCAACATATGTTAAGAAAAAAGAAAAAGAAGAAGATAGCAGGAGGGGAAGAATGAAGGGGAGTAAGTCGGAGGGGGAGACGAACCATGAGAGACGATGGACTCTGAAAAACAAACTGAGGGTTCTGGGGGGGGTGGGGGGATGGGTTAGCCTGGTGATGGGTATTAAAGAGGGCACGTTCTGCGTGGAGCACTGGGTGTTATGCACAAACAATGAATCATGGAACACTACATCCAAAACTAATGATGTAATGTATGGTGATTAACATAACAATAAAAAATTAAAAAAAAAAAGACTGCCTCCAAAGTACTGAAAATATTTCTGGGTTTAGACAAGAAAAATGTGGAAGAAAGATCAGTGCGTACATGCAAGTGGGCAGTCAAGGTCAGGTTGGTCACGGTCTTGGGGTCAGTCATGTGGGGTCTTGCTGGCTCAGGGCAGTCCTCACTGCTTGGAGAGGGTAGTTTAGGTCCCATGCTTTGCCCTCAGGGTCTTTCACCTGAGTTAAGAGGAAAACTGGAAAGAGCTTAATCAGAAAGTACAGACACTAAGAATGGAGGTGGTTGAAGTTCCTCTTTCAGCATCAAGCCTTTGGTAGAAGACGTGTTTCTTCGGTCTTAACTTTCAGCACAAAAGTAACTTTGTCAGATCAATTTGTCTGCCCCATAGCCGTTAATTTTTGGTCGCTCCTTATGCCGTGGTGAGCATTGCTGACATTTAAAGTGTACTTCCACATGTATCATCTCCTTTCATGACAAATTAACCCCATAAAGATTTTGTATCTGTAACAAAAACATAATGTCAAAAATGACTATTTACGTCTTGGCCTCTGGGTCCTCTCCTCACTTTGATCATTGTTATTTAAGACATGTCTGGGCAGGTCACCATTCAAAGAGTAACTTTCTGTGGGTGGCTGTTTGTTATTTCTCTGAAGCAGGAAACAATTCGGTTCACCAATGTTGTACAACCCATGGAACGTCTTTTAAAATAGTCTCTGTGTTAATGATGGTGGATTAGGATTGTGGCTCATATATGATGTCCATTTTTTCTACTCGTTAATGTGTTCGTTTCTTCCACATACATGTGGGATTTCTTTATGTGGGCACTGGTAGGGTTTTATCCTGTTCCTGCTTTATCAGTGAATTGATTTCAACTACCATGTACTGGTACCTCCTGTATGAGGGCCTTGTACACTATGAAAAAGATTCTCCTTGTCCTTGGGAAGTATATGATCCAGTGGGGGAGATGACACAGAAAAAGGCAAACATAGTAAATGTATCAAGAAAGTTCTGGTAGATCACAGAAGGAAGTTAGTTCCAGCTGAGTGGCTCAGGGAGAGGACATGGTATTTGGGTTGTAACATGAAGGGTCAGATTTCAATAGGAAGAAATGGAGGACAGTGGGAGGAGATGTGTATCTAATCTAGGCCAGGGGAACAGGGCACCGAACAGCAGAAGTACTGCTATCCAGGAATCTGCTCATAATCCCTCAACTCCTCTGACAAATGGCAAAGTGAGCAAAAATTTGGGAGCTGGAAAATACAGGGGCCTATTCGGGGATTGGTAAATGATCTGTTTTGGCTAGAGTAGGCATTCTACATCGGGGTGATATTGGGGGCACCATAATGAGGAACGGGTTGAAAAACATTCGGCTAGCACATAGGACTTATATAGAGAGTAAATAAGGCTGTGACTCGACTATGAATGTCATGCTCAGGAATCTGGACTCCATGGTGTAGGCCATGAGACGTCAAGATAGGTTTTGAGGATGACAACGGTATAGTTGAAACTGAACGCTGGGGGAGAGTACTCTGGTAGCAGCAGATGAGGACGATGGCACCACCCCATGGTGCCAGAACGTTGGTGTAGGAGAGAGGGGAAGAGACCCTGAACCACAGCAGTGGACGTGGGAATACCAGAGGGTTGGAATCTAAAGACATGCCGGGCTGGCTCAGTGAGGAAGGCATGTGACTCTTGATCTCAGGGTTGTTTGAGCCTCATGTTGGGTGTAGAAATTACTTAAAAATAAAATGTTCAAAAAAATACCAAAGACATTGACTGGACTTGGAAACTCGTTAGATATGAGGGTGAAGAAAGAAGGAGTCACAAAGATGATGCAAGGTTTCAAGAGAAGTGTCTGGAAGGAGAGTAGTCTCTTTGATGAGGAGAAGCATAAGGTTTGTAAAACTATCAGTTCAGTTTCACACATAAAGAGTTTGAGAGGGGCGCCTGGGTGGCTCAGCGGGTTAAACGTCTGCCTTCGGCTCAGGTCATGACCCCAGGGTCCTGGGATGGAGTCCTACATCGGGCTCCCTGCTCAGCGGGAAGCCTGCTTCTCCCTCTCCCTCTGGGCTCTCTCTCTCTCTCTCTCTTTGATAGATAAATGAAATCTTTAAAAAAAAAATAGTCTGAGGTAACCTGCAATTTGTCCACATGGGGATACTCAGTCAAAGTGAGAAATTTGGGACTGGGGATTCTTGAAACAGGGATGAAGAAGTAGATTTGGAAGTCATCTGCTCACACATGATTGCCAAAATCCTGCGTCTGGATGAGATGGCCAGAGCAGAGGGTAAACTGAGAGGAGAGGCTGAGTCCAGAACCTTGAATGACCGCACTGGATGTCAGCACCGGGCCTTGCTTCTGCCCTGTACTATAGCACAAGGGGGTGTGTGATTGAGGAATGTTTATACTGAGGGTCTATATTGAGACATTTGCAAGGCATTAGGGGTCGCCCTGGATCTGTGGGGCTATAAACTTAGTGCCTTTAAAGTCAGAATAGTTTTCAAAGTGTTGTTTCATGGGCTCATTCTGTCAGCTCCAAGCGGCCATTTTCCACCTTAGTATTTGGTAACCCTGGCAACCTCCCTCCCCATCTTGCAACCGGAGAGATACTCATCAGTTTGGTTTTTAATAGCAACAGCTGGATAGGTAGTGATGATAATCTTTAGAAATCTCCTGTCTTCTCCAGTCTGTTAGCCAAATCCCCAGCAAGAAGGCTTGGCTGGTTTTCTTCCCCAACCGTTGACGCAGCCAAGAGAACTGCTCATCTATCACATACTTGACGGAATGTCTGAAATTGTTGTCCGCTAAAGTCACCTGTGACTCCAGGACACCATTGAAAATCATCTCTGTAGGCTGGGGGTCGTTTCTGCCCTTCCCACAGCAGGCTACGGGGTTAGTTTGGGTGCTAGCTCTCAGTTAAACAAGCAAATACAAGTCGGCTTGAATGTCAGGTGTTGGTAACAGGCCTTCGTTAGTAAACAAGAGATGTGAAATTCTGAAAAGGGAGTGCCCACAGATGTTCCTCTTCGTTCTCACTATTCTAATTGTTCAGGGAACAGCTTTGCAAATCCAGGTAGAAAACTTTTTTTTTTTTTTGTTATACCTGAGGCATCAGTTCTGAACCCGCAGTGACAGAATCAAGATTCTAGGGAGAACAGCAGCTTCAATTCTCTGAACCTTAGTTTTTTGTTTGTTTTTGTTTGTCTATAAAAGCAGGGCTAGCAGTAGAACCCACTTTGTAAGGCTATTATAGAAATTCACTGAGATGACGCATGTCAGACAGTTAGCAAGGTCAGTGCTCAGTAAGTAGTAGCTCTTCATAATATTATATGCACACCGAGCAGCCTACAATTTTAAAAGTAATATTTTTCTCTGACTACAAAAGTATGACTTTATTAAAGTTTGGGGAAAACTGAAAAATAAAATGCAAGAGTCAAACAGATGGAGATAAAAAATCTCAGCTTTGGGGCACCTGGGTGGCTCAGTCAGTTGAGTGTCTGACTCTTGATTTCGGCTCAAGTCATGATCTCAGGGTCATGAGACTGAACCCTGCATCAGGCTCCCTGTTCAGTTGGGAGATTCTTTCTTTCCCACTGTCCCTCCCCCCCTGCTTGCGCGCGCGCACTCACTCTCTCTCTCAAATAAGTAAATAAATAAATAAAATCTTAAAAAAAAATCTCAGCTTTATTACAGGTAAGTTAACAAAAGAATATGACTTGGTTCTGCAGTGAAATGGACGCACTACTACCTAGCCTTCCATAGCTACACCTTGGGGCAGAGCACCGGAGGGAGATCAGGATGTGGGGAGTAGATCTAATTAGTGATAGGAAGGTGATAGAAGAATGCCACCAAGTGCTTCAAGCTTTCTGATAGATTAGTTCTAGTCCAAAAGCATGGGTCAAGGAGTTTCCTACCCTTACCACCCTCCAGTTGGATGACTTACTCCTCCTCTACCCTAAGGAGTAAGTAAGGATCAGGGAGAGAGGCTGGGAACTCACTCCAGTCACAGAAGTCCCCTCACAGAAGAATGAGGCAATGGTTGCTCATTATATAAAAATGTAAGGATATGGAAAAAAG